TGTCAGTTCAAAAGTGTACTTATTCGTGTTGTTTTGTATTGTTTTGTGCTGTGTACATTTAATTAATTTTTTTATATACCTATATTTATTTATAGGTATTTTTATAAATATTTTTGAGTTTGTCAGTTTATTAAAATGGATGAAGATGCACTTATTGGTATTGCCATTTATCTCGCGTGTGATGATGCAAAGAAACCCMAAAAGAGAAAGAAAAGATTCTGGGTTAAAGAATGACTGACGAAAAAAACTCATTCTCTGATCATAACCTTCTAAAAGAACTGCAGCTGTCATCTCCTTCTGATTACAAAAACTATCTTCGTATGGACCACGTAACATTTTCAAAATTGTTGGAGTTAGTTACACTATATATACAAAAGCAGTATACTAATATGAGAGAACCTATATCACCGGCCTAGCGTTTGTCATGCACACTGCGGTATTTAGCGACTGGAGTTAATTTCGAAGAACTTAAATTTATAACTGCAATCGCTCCACAAACACTTGGAAAAATTATTATTGAAACATGTCAAGCTATAACTACTGTACTGAAACATAACATAAAAGTAAGTAATTTTTTTTTATTCATAGAAAAAATGTATCCAAACAAATTTTAATAGTAACAAATTAGTACTTATTTAAAAATGTTATTTATAATTGAAAACCTTAGAAAATTAAAAAAAATCCATTAATTTTTTAGTATTTTAAATTTATATTKAATTTGAATTTGAGTACTGAGGGTCTGAAAGAAGTTCACTGTATGTTGTGTATGTGTCTCCAAAGGGTGTAATGTCTGGAGTCTGCTGTAGAACTGGTGCGAAAATGGTTTGTGATGAATTTGAATTTCCTGGTAAATAAATTGGTGTTGAAGTACCAGAACACGTGCATGTATGATTAATTTTTATCGAATTACGATGTAGTGTTTTTAAACGAGCCTCAAAAAGTATGTCGTTGATCGCTTTTGGAGCAAATAGATGTTGTTCTGGGTCAAGCTTATCTAATTCAATACTCCAAGACTTAGCTAAAATATCGTTGTCTGATGTAGATTTTTGCAGTCGCATACAAGCTAATTCTAGCAATTCGTTCTTTTTTCTTCAGAATTTACTATTTTCCTTTTCTTTTTTAATGGTTCATGTGACGTGGTTTCATCAATTTTTTCCTAGAAAATGAATAATAGTTTTATTAATAAAATATATTCATATTAATTATTTTATTACATTCTTTATTTTTTTATTTAGATTCCTGCTTCAGAAGAAGAGTGGAAAGTCGTATCAGATGATTTCGGTACAAAATGGAAT